ATGAAAGTGAAGCCATCTGAGGATGCTGAGAGTGATGATGGGTGGAAAGAGGTCACATCCTTGATGACATTGTTGAACAGCTACATCGAACTTGGAACAGAACTTCCTACTTTTAGGATGCTGTTTAAACCACTTTTTGTCAGGTATTCTGTTGCTGGCAGCCAAAAGCATCCTGACTGGTATGCATGCCTGATATTTAATGATATGTTCCTGTTTTTTGTTTCTTGGAAAGAAGAGGTTAGTGGAATACTCTTCCCTCAAACTTGTCACTTGGTATCTCTCATCCTCATCACCACACTCCTCCATCTACTCAGTTACTTGTCAGTTCACCTCATAAGGCTCTTGTTGAGGGAAGAAGTTTTGACTGTCTGGTGCACTACTGTAGTCCTGGTTCCTATTATGTAATAAATAGTCATTCAATAAATATTTGCCAATTGATGAATGAATGGGTCTGTCCAGGAAGTAGAATCCCTAGAATGTGGCTGTCGCCTAGAGGTGAGGAAATGAGTCAGGGCTGGCACAGTGTTTCTGGCTTGTGCGGTTGGCTGGAGGGTGCTGCCTCCAGCATGAGCCACCATGGGAGGGAGCAGAATAGTTGAAGGAGTTGGGTTTTGTCCTAGATGTGTTGAAACTGAGGGGACATTTTTGGCATGGTCCCTGTAGACAGTTGGACATAGGGTCTGGGTTGGAGCTTGAGAAAGATGGGCTTGTGGAGCATGGGAAGAGAATGACTCTCCATTCCCATGGACTTCTCTCCATCCCCTGCTGCCACCACTGGAGTCCAATCCAACCTCCTCTCTTCCGCAGTATTGCAGTGGCCTTCTAACTGGTTTTCTGAGTTCACTCTGATGCTTTTTCCCTTCCTCATGCTCTAGCCACACTGATCTTCTTTCTCTCCTTGACAGCACCAATCTCCTTCCCATCTCAAGGCTTAAAGGCCACGAGGACTTCTTCCACCAAGAACTCTGCTCCCTCCATCCTCTACCTTCCTCCACCTGTGCAACTCCAGTCTGTTTTTTAGGTCTCAGCCTAAATGTCATGTCCTCAGGAAGGCCTTCCCTGACTACCCCCAACCCCACCCACCTTTGTAGCCTCAGAAATTTAACTTTGTTGGAACACCATGGGTGATTTGCTTTTTGGTGACATATACTGTCAAATAAAACTTTAAAAGACTTATGTATCTGAATTAAATTATTAATTAAAATGAGAAATGTAACTATCGAGGATCAGAAACTCATGAGTGTGGACAAGTACATTTTTCCTATGGAAGACAAATCTACACAGGAAGCCAGATAGCTTGTGCATACAGGATTATATACGAGGCATTTGCTGCTTTATTAAATGATCATTAGCTAAACCATGATACCCCAGTGCATCCTTTTCCACCACAGATCTCCCTTGACACCTGTTCTTGGACCACCACCCCCTGTGCTGAAGACCCCTGCGTATGTTTGCCTCCAAATCCTAAGTTTCAGTGGTTGACCTGCTACTGCATCAGATGTAAGCTTGCTTCAGCTATGTTAACACCTACCTTGTTAATACTTAATAAGGTTAAGGTCAGATCTGGAAGTATTCTTTTCTTTTAGATGACTTTGCTTATGTCTGCTCTGACCTATTATATGTATTTCATAGTTCAACTTTAAGAGCTGTGAAAGCAGACTATTATAGGACTTATATTCACCTCTTTAAGAGTCTTTCATTCACTGTGTTTGTTTAGATTCCTTCAAGATCTGCACTGCAGATTTTTTTAGCAAACGGAACTCTGTAGCTGTGAATCTACAAGCCTTCTAATGGTCTGGGGGGTTGTCAATGCACGTTTAAGAAGGATATTTAACTCTAAAGATTGAAGCTTTTTGGAAGGAAGTTGTTAGATAAGGGGGAGGCTGAACACAATCACGTATGTAAAACCTCGTTCTATACTTAACAAGCTTGAAAATATTCTTGCAAGCTTGTTTGTAAGAAGCCCCCTTGGAAATTCCTGATCTCCTGGAGCTTAACCTTCCAATCTCAACATATTCCACAGTAATCAAGTGTCTGGGTAGCAAGAAAATTGGCACCTGTAACTCAGAAAGGTATATAGTGTCTGGAGTCTTTAGCAAAAGAGGCTCAAAACCTTCTCTCTGTTTTCTACCTCATACCAAATGAGGCAGATCACTCTTGTAAAATTTATTGTCTTGAAACGATAGGTGGGAGTGGTTTTGTTTTGACAGAGAGCACTCCAAGGGTCCAAGTCATTGTGGTTTCCTTTTGCTTCCTGTTTGGGCAGCTTTTTGAAACTGGTTGGACTAACTTTCCATTTTTAGTGTGTTTTCTTTCAAATATGTTAACCATGGATGAAAGGAGGCAGAGACAAGCACTGGCCTTCACTCTCAGGGGATGACATTCTGAACAGTAGTTTGTCCTAGAACACTGACCCCTGAGGCAGGTCATGGCCCAGGGTCAGTCCTGATGGGTACCCAGGGCCTGTCTGGGAATGCATGGAAGCTGGCTCTCAGGATATCCTTCTCCAAGTGTTAGGAGAGTGCCCTGAACATCTGTTACTGTCCTCAGTAATGCATTTTAATTGTTGAGTGAGGAGATCAATGGATAGTTGAGGGGATAACCAAGGGGATGGGCTCATAAATCTGAAATTGAACAGGGTTTTCTCAACTACGCATCTGGTGTGACTATGCAGTATTAGAAAGGAATAAGGATTCTAGTACATTGAAATATAAGCAGTATATACCTATGCGTGTGATTGTTAATGTACACAATGGCTATAAAAGGCATATATGACTTCTAAACAAAATTTACACAAAACTGAGCTGTGCGTATAATTTATTCATATTCTTACATAGAAATTTGTCATACAGGCAATAGAAAAGAATACAAGCACTCCTTAGGAAAATCAATAAAATATTCACTAAAATTATTAGGATAATACTTAGCAACAAAAATAGCTTGAGAAAATGAATACTATTTAAATTAGACAATGTACAAGGTTTTAAAATGTTCCTATTTACAAGTCTGTGTGAGCACGTGGGAAAAGGGCATGTGGTCAGCCCGCTAGGGCTTCCCTGTGAAAACGGACTTGGAGACACTGAGAGGCTCTGGTTCCCTCAACCATGCCCCAGGGGCTCCAGTCCTGGTGATCTTTGGTCTGCTTGCATTTTTGTCCCCGCCCCCTCCCAACTCTTATTTTACAAATTCCCTAACAAGGGAGATTTCAGTTCCAACACTGAAAATTTAGTTTTTCCACAGGAATATACATGACTCTATGACAGCTGCAAAGTCATGGTTTCAAAAGGCTTTGGTCACAGGGTTTTTAAATTGGAACAGTGTTTCCCTGAGAAAATGAAGAAGTGAACTTTTCCCTAAAATATTGTAGGTTTACTTCCCTTCTTCTGTTTGTTCATTCAGCAAACTGTATAGTTTGCACTGAGTACTTCAAACCCAGATAGGAAAACACCTTTAGGATTCCAGTGTCATTTTCCAATTCTCCAAAATTTCGGAGCTTCCCACTGCCGTCTTCAGCATGTTGGTTATAGAATCTTTATAGGACTGATAACTTACACAAACAAAGCAAAACAGGAGACTCCTTTACCTGTATTTCTCTTTTTTAAAAAAATAAATGATTTATTTTATTTTTATTTATTTTTGGCTGCGTTGGGTCTTTGATGCTGCACGTGGGCTTTCTCTAGTTGCGGTCAGCGGGGGCTACTCTTCGTTTTAGTGCGTGGGCTTATTGCGGTGGCTTCTCTTGTTGTGGAGCATGGGCTCTAGGTGCGCAGGCTTCAGTAGTTATGGTGCACAGGCTTAGTTGCTCCACGGCATGTGGGATCTTCCCGGGCCAATGCTTGAACCTGTGTCCCCTGCATTGGTAGGTGCCACCAGGGAAGCCCCCTACCTGTATTTCTTTTTGATGGTTCAAATACCATTAGTTTCTGAGTGAGAATATTGTAAGCGTGCAGAAAATAGTGATTTTTTTTAAAAGTAAGAATTAAACAACTTCTAAACACCCAGAAGCAATCTGGCATTAATCTTCAGTCTTATAATATACAGCATCCTTAAATGAATTGAAAATGTGACTTTAAAGGGCCCTTGGATGTTGATGATTTGGTATTCGATTCTCTGCTTTTGTAGCATTTACAAAATCAGTTTAGGTAGATTAAAGTAAAAATAGCTATGCTGAGTATTTTAGAAAAATGTAACTTTTTTTTTTTTAATACCTAGGAACTGGTAAAGCCAGGAACTTCCTTTATTTTACCTCATTGAAAACAAATCTATCCTCCAAAAAAAAAGATAATAAACTACCTAAAAAATCCTTTGCAATATCCAAGAAAAGTGACAAACAGAATAATTTTGAAGGATGGGATCCCATTCTCTCTCCTGCATCTCTGCCAGCCTGAAACAAACCGACCATCTGCTGTAAGAGAATGTCACACACATGGGACAGCATGGAGGCGGTTCTGCTGAGGAGCTGGGGAAAGAGCTCAGTGATGGGCCCTGCGATGTTGACCACTGCCGTAATGTGTAACTTGCATTGATTTTAAATAAGCCAAATGGCTTATCTGAGAATTCTGGGTTGACTTTGATTTTGTGGCTCTGAATTCCATTCACTTAAGGCTTAGTTGGTTTATAGAGATTAATTTTTTAATACTGTTAACATCATGTGCAACCAAGCACCAAGAATATCAATAAATATCAATAATTAGCTTTGGTCTTACTTCCTCTTTCTGGTGGACCATTCTGACTTTATAAATACAGTAGAGTCTCAGTGCCAATGCCCCACTGGGGTTTAAAATTCCATAGCCAGAGCACTTCACCTTGATGTGTCTTGTCACTTGTTTGGGCATGTTTTGGAGTCTGAAGGAAAAATACAAAATGAGCAAAAGAACAGATCACCGATGGCTTAGTATGAAATTTGTTAGCAGTAAAAACAACAGTTTTGAGACCCTCGAAGTCAACTGGGGCCGTTAGTCAGAAATGACTTGTGATCATGGCTGTGGATGGGGGTTGCATTACAAAGGGCTTTCAACCATCCTTTTCTTGGCTTGTAGGTAGAACATGCGGTTTTCTTCAGGATAAGTGACTTTACTGAGGGGCATCTTATAGATGTTGGGGTTTTTCGTGGTCAGCAGAAGGAACAGTAGTGTCGCCAAACAGAAGGGCCAGGTACAAGATGGCAATCCGACCTGGAGCAAAAGAGACAAGTCACACGTTCCTTTGAGATCCTGTCGGAGGATCTCAAAGGAACCATGCTTCACTCCACTGTCATTCAGCTCAGGGGATGACTCGCTGGGGGCACTGCTCTGGACTCTGCTTGCCCCTGTGGAGACTAAGATCTCAGGGCATTCTACAGCTGAAATGTCAGCATGCATTCCTTAGTGTTGATGTATGTCTTTCCCTCCCTCTCATACAGTCAGACTTCCTACACCGGATGTGCAAACATGACACCTTGCTCCCAGAGATGACACTTCGCCAACCACCAATGGCTCCTGACCACTCATCAGGTCCACAAAGCCATTTTGATTAGTTCAGCCCTCTCTCCCCTTGACCTCTACCCAGACTAGGTCTTGGACTCTACTTGCTTTACTTCTTTTTGTTCCATCTCTCAAAAAGACTGTAAGCTCCTTGATGGTACCTCTTCCTTCTGTGTGTCCATGGCAACTCATGCAATTCTGAGCACACACCATGTACTTGGTTAGGTTTGGCCCTATACATGGACCCCCAGGGTATGATGGTACACAAACCTGACTTCACTTCACATCTGGAAGAGTTTAAAAAAACCACAGATGCCTAGGCATCATACAAGATCTACTCTACCAGAAATGCCAAGGGACAGGGCCTGAGGATCTGCATTTTTCAAAATCTCCCTAGCTGACTCTGTTTCGCAGCCTGTCCAATTCTGGCCCATAGGCCAAGGTCTGTGAACCTTTGTTGGGATGTGAAGGGCCCCACAAGCTCTAAGGCATCCCATCATGCCTGTAACAGGGCTTTGACATTCCACCATAAAGATACTGGGTCTCCAGAAGGACCCTCCCAGGTAAGCTCTCGAAGCTGCTGTTGAGAGGGCTAGATGCTGTCCTAACCCAGTGGCAGCCATGACCACATCTACATGGATAGAGTTATCATGAACCGGCCCTGCATCATCTGCAGTGGTCGGTGAGGAAGAGCACTGAGAGGTGGGGGACCCCAGAATACTCTGGTGATACTGGGCTCCTCAGGGGAGGGGAAGGACAAAGTCAAAGGAAGGAGAGAGTAGCAGGAGGCTCTTAATGGGCAACCATTTTGGCTACTAAATAATTCAGCCAGGGACTTCTCTGGTGGCGCAGATGGTTAAGTCTATCTGCCAATGCAGGGGACACAGGTTTGAGTCCTGGTCCAGGAAGATCCCACATGCTGTGGAGCAACTAAGCCGGTGCACCATAACTATTGAGCCTGTGCTCTAGAGCCCACGAGCCACAACTACTGAAGCCTGTGCACCTAGACCCTGTGCTCCGCAACAAGAGAAGCCACCACAATGAGAAGCCTGCACGCTGCAACTAGAGAAAGCCCGCGCACAGCAATGAAGACCCAATGCAGCCAAAAACAAACAAACAAACAAACAAACAAACAAATAAATAAATAAATATATTTAAAAAAAATTCAGCCAGGACATGGGTCTAAAAAAGTCTTACTGGTGACTGACTGGGGATTAAAAAAAATAAGGGGTATGAAAAAGTGTTGGCTTAATTAAAAAAAAATCTGGGTCTTTAACCAACTATCCTTTTCCTCCCTTTTCTGATTTATCAACTAACACATAGTCCTGGTTTTCTGTTTAAGTGAAAGATATTCTAAAGTCAACTTCTTGACACTCAGAGTTAAAGTATGGACTTGATAATATATTATACACCCTAAATTTCACTTCTTTAAATCAAACAATCTGATATTTTTAGCAAGTCTGGTGATTGTGGTTTGGACTACGGTTTACTGTGATGCTGGAGGGTAAGTGAGGACAGATGGGTCTGGCAGATGGACAATATTGGCTATCTGTCATGGATTCTGCCCTGGGATGCCACGAAGGTGGACTTCAGGAGGGCTTCCATACAGTTGAAAACTGATCGATCACACTGATGAGAAAATGAGATTAAAGCAAACTCACCACAGCCATCAGGTTGGACATGCTGGCTCCAACGTAGGCAGTGAACAGGGCTACAAAAAAAAAAAAGGAAAGAAGAATGCTTGGTAGGTGCACTTTTCATTACAGGAAAGACTGCCTTTAGGTATAAATCCCTGGAATGTAAACTTGTGTGTTTCACCAGTGAGCCCAGCATCCTGGTTACAAGTATGAGCTTAGAGTCAGTGGCTCTGGGTTCAAATCCAGACTCCACCCTGTAGGAGCTTGGTGCCTCCTCTCGAAGTCCCCATTTCCTCACCTGTACAAGGAGGTAATAGGAATCTCTCTCTCACGGGTTGGTGTGAGTGTGAAGAAGATAATGCTTGGGCTTAGCACACAGTAAGTACTCAATAAAGGTAGCTTTTCTGTGGTACTATTTTGTTGCTGTTATGATAATACTTAAGGAAAAGGCCTTCCATGATAAATAAACTTCCCCATTATTTTATCCAAGCATAATAAAACTTATGAATGTTCCTTGAGACAGCATACAATCTCATGGCATCTGGGATTCTCAGATCAATGGTTAGCATTCACAGTTCCAAAAAATCATAGTGTATATATATATATATATATATATATATATATATATATATATGTAGTAACTTAGAAATTGGCAGAAGCTGAACACAGACCTGGGATTCCTCCCCATAATAACATTTTCCCAAATACCATTAAGGTTGGCACACAGGTCAATGAATTAATTAACATCCTGTTTTTATTTACTTTGAGCACCAATTAGAGTAGGTAATTTGAGTTATATGTATGACTTTCAATGTAAAACAACAAAAACAAAGATCTCAACTAGCTAACTCAATTCCTGGCCCCAAAGGGGCTCGCGGAAGCCCTTAGGTTTCACAGAGGCGGCCTGAAGAATAACCTTCTTATAATGGCCACATGGTCACTTGGGCCAGCAACACTCAGTGTTAGACACACTCATCATCTGGTCCTCAAGTCCATCGAGAAATCACATCTGCTACTCTGGGGAGTTGGGCAGCGGTGGCGGGAGGGACCTTATGATCCTCCTTTACTTTACTATAGACTTCCATCCTTTTATTGATATTTTATATTTTTATCCTGACAGTTTTTGTTCAACAGTATACCTAATTCTTTCACATCTGAATTGTCTCATGCTAATGGGAAAGGCTCATCTTTGGAAATGATCTGGACTTCAAATCCCAGTTCTGCAATTTTGTTTGCTGTGCAACAAATCACTGAACTAGGAATCTAGTTTCATCATCTGTAAAAAGACCACTTGAAGAGGTTTTTTACAGGGAGGTAAAATGAATCTCAAATGAAATCATATATTTTCACAAAGAGCAGCTATAAACTCATCTCTGTCACCATGGGTTGGAAGCACTGCTCTGAGGAGAAGGGTTAGAAGATTTTCTCTGCTTGGCTTTGATAATTTCATTCTTTTTCCCCCCATTTAGTTCATTCATTCATTCACTCATTCAAGAAATATTCACTGGCCATTGGCTAAGTACAGGGGACACTCTGTCCCTTCTCTCCTGAGTACCAGCTTTTCTATGACACTCCCTTGAGCACATGAGACCTTATTTCTCTCCTAGAAGTGCAATAGCTTAATACCTATTAATGTACTTTTGGTGCTCGAGTCTCATATTGTAATGCTCTTTCAATTCCCTGTTGCTTTTCTTTCTATAGTAAGAGTATCAGATTGTCTAACAGTTGCTGCCCATCACTTAAGACTAGCTGGGTTGGGCTGGGAAAGCCTTATATTAGAGGTGAAGTTCTGTACACCATGGTTTGGAGGTGATGACCCTGACAGCGTTCTGAGTAGCTGAGGGAGAGAAAAGCCCCTTGAGTGTGGAAGGGAGGACTGGATCCTAGTTCTTCATAGACAATGTCCCTCCCCACAGACCACCATGTGTGAGTCCTACTATGATAACCCAACCTGTAAGAAGTGATACAAAATGTGTTTACAGTTTGCACTGATAAAATAAAATTGAGGAGTTCCCTGGCCATGCAGTTTCTGGCTTAGGGACACAGGGAAGGCAGCTTTACCAGGCTCTATCAGTGACTCCAAAGTCCTCTTTCCAATAAAGCCATAGGAGCTAATAAAAGAGCACCTCTGTGATAAATGTCTGCTATTTATTTACCTTGGTTGACAAGGTTTATCTTTTGTTTGGCAGTATCGGGGTGATATGGGCAAGCATAAACTTGCTGTGCGATTTTACAGTGAGATTTGCTTTATAAGAGGGACTAGAGGTCTGTCTCAAAACTTTATGTCCAAAGATGAAAAAGACAGTGCCCAGTGTGGATGAAACAGGCACTCTCATATACTGTCAGTGGCAGGGGAAATTGGTACGGCCTTTGTGGGGTGCATTTGGCATCTATTGAAATTAAAATAGGCAGAGCTGGGATTTGGGCACCAGGGAGGGTCTGGGCTCTTAACTAATTCAATATACTGACAACCAGTATGCTCTACTAATAATGAAAAGCTGATCTATCCAAAGGAAGGGAGATGTGATAGGCAGAATAAAGGCTCCCAAAGACGTCCATGTCCTGATTCCCAGAACTTGTGAATATGTTACCTTACATGGCAAAAGGGACTTTGCAGTTGTGATTAAGTTAAAGATCTTGAGATGGAGGTTTATCCTGGATTAGCCAGGTTGACCCAATGTGATCACAGGGTCCTTATAAGAAGGAGGCAAGAAAGTTCTATCTAGGGAGTAGGATGGAGTGTTTTCATTTTCTGCTTTATACTCTTCTGTATTGATTGAATTTTTGTTTGTTTTGTTTGGTACAATAGGCCTGTACAACTATAGAAGTATAGAAAGAAAATAATGATGATATCACAGCTTTGGGAAACACACATCTGTAAACATCTTTGGCTTTTCCTTTCCCATAGTCTGTGAAGAGACCTTCACAGACCTTATCAACAACTCCTGTGACCAAGACAGTTTCTGCTTATCTTTAAGGATGTGCTCAGACTGTCCCTATGCTGGCCCAGACCATGCTTTCTACCAACTGGAATTCCTCCTCTTACTTTTTAGGACTTACAGAAAAGCCACCCTTTCTAGGAGGTGCTTTTTGGTGATTCTGAACTATAATGTTCCCCCAGGGACTCACTCTGCACTGTAGGTGTTTCCTGGCTCTGCATCTTGTGGTCTCTGTGGGCTTCTGTCTCTTACTCACCTGGCTTCTGTTCTCCGTACAGAAAACCGCCTGGGATCTAAAGCTTCTGAACCCCTAGCTCTTCCTAGTACTGTCTGGGTTGTACCATGAGTGTTTAATACATATTTGCTGCTACTGCCAATACAGAAAAAATAAAGGTTTGAAACCTCAAACCAACCTCAGAATAAAGAGTCTAACCCAGGTGAGCTCAGGAGGCCACATAATCTGTTTCTACCCTTCTCCTTTGCCCTAAGCTTTAAACAAGTATGGAAAAATGAGCAAAAATTTTGACAGGACTATTAGGTGAAATAGTTATGTAACTATAAAGAAATTGACAAAATGACCTGTGAATGGCAACACCACAGCAACCTGAGTTTTGTTAATCTTCCTACAGCATCAGACAATCAAAATTGGATTAGGCTTTAGAAATCCTTGGTTCCATCCCATGTCTTGCCCAATGCAGGAACTCACTCTAAATCCTGCCTGACATGTAGCCCACCACTTTAATAATGGCTGGATCGATTAATCTGGTGATAAAATGACTCTAGACAAATGTTTCCATGAGATTACAAAAGTTTCTGCATGTCCCAATATCCTTCCACCCCTTTGTCCCCAAGGAAGTGTCATTTCCTTCATTCTAGCACATTATCTTACACACTTTTATTTGTGTTGAATTAGGGATGCCAGAAGCTATAAGTGAATAAGCTCCCCTTCCAATGGCCAGAGAAATCCATGGTAGCTTTTCAAATCCAAAGCACTTAAGGTCTGTTTTCACCTAAGTGCCTGAATGGTACTAAAGGGAAGGAGAGTAGTGTAGTGGGCGTAACTCTGGAAGTTGTTAGCAAATGTGGATTCTGGACTTATATTTACCCCAATGGATGCCTTTCAGTGTGTCACTTTCTCTCTCTGCCCTTATGTAGAACCCCAACAGTAAAATGAGAAGGATGGAGTGGAGATCTCCAGAACCCTTTCTAGCTCCCATAGGCTGAGTCTGGCTAGAAAACAGAGGTTAGAAAGGATTAATATAGCAGTTCTCAAAATGTGGTCCCCAGAGCTACAGCATCAGCACCACCCAGCACCTTGTTAAAAATGCAAACTCCTCCCCCTACCTCTAACAATGAGTCAGGGACTGGGGGTGAGATCCAGCAATCTGGGTTTTAACAAGTCTTCCACGTGATTCTGATGTTTGCTTCATTTTTGAGAACAGCCTGATTAAGGCGATTCTCTAAGGGCCCTTTAATACCACCTGATTCACCAGGAGAACTGACTCTATACTTAGCTTGTTTCCTTTTAGTTTCTTGGGTCAAACAATTAGTATGAAGAACATAGGACAAGTCAAGTTTCTATCCCTCAACATACACATATTGTAAAATGGTTCTCTCATCTTCAAAATGAGTAATGAGGTAGACAGAGCAGACCCAAACCCTCCCAGAGAGGGGAGGCCAGTTGCCCTGGTTCCATCCTCAACAGATAGCAGGAGGCTCAAACTAGAACACCTGCTCTAGTTTCTCACACAGCCCTTTCTGACTGTTTGCCCTTGATGTTGATCCCATAATCATAAGCAACCATGCCCCAGATGCACAGGATACTCACCGCAGGCAAGAGCCAGGAGGTGGGCTTGCCAGGTGAGGGCCATGAACATTCCTCCAATTGCAATGCAGGTTAGAGAGCTGTTGAAACCCCAGAGTCCAACATAGATGTTCTCAAATGGAGCTGAAAGACTGAGTCCTATTAGGCAAGACAGGAGGAGTCAGAACTTCGGACTAAATGCAGGATGCTCTGGAAGGAGTCTGGGGGTGGGGAAGTCATCCGAGAACTCCCACTGGTCCCTTGGAAGCAGACCTTCAAGAAAGGTCTGGGGTATAGAAGATGCCTGAGACAATGGATGGAGCAGAGGAGGTTCTCAGTATCTGGTAACAAGTCTTACACTCACCTGCTGCCATCCCCAGCAACGACCCGATCGCAGCATGTAGGCACATGAGTGGGGAGGAGAGGAAGATGGCAGCTAGGAAGATGCCCCCTGTCCACGGATTATCACAGCCATATATCTGACCAACACCCACAGGCAGGGACTTCAGTAACTGCAGAAACAATTTAGAAAATGCGGTCATTAAAACTACTGTACAGAAACTCATAGGGCACCCACAAACACAATGCGATGTCATTTTAGATTTAGCGTATCTTATCTTTCAAGATCAGTGCTACTGATTTTTAAAATTCTCTCTCTCTATGGAAAAATCTCAGTCATTCTTCTGCTTTATCCCCAGAGATACACCAGCCCTTCCCTGCTGCGTGCTGAGCATGCCTTTCCCAGACCCTTCACTCACTGGCTCTACTGCTTGCACTGTCACCTGGCTTTGGTCACTGATAAGCTCCTAGTGCTGTGTCACTGCTCCTCACTGATCCTGTGAGGATCGGCCATGCCTCCCAGTGAGGATGGCAGGGACCGCAGCTCACACTTCTATTGCTTTCAACTCTCCATCAGTTCTGAGGCCAATAAATCAATGCATCTCTAAGGTCAATAGAAATATTATTACTCCCATGTAATTTAGTTATTAGTGCTAAGGCCAGAGAACCAAAGTCGGGTTATCTTATCCACAACTCCAAAGCAATTATTGGCAGGTTCATGAGTCAGGACCATATTTACACTTCTGTTGTTAATGAGAACATGTGTTAGTTAATTAATTTTACTTTATTTTTCGTTTTTTAAAATTTATATTTATTTACTTTTAATGTTTTTTATTTTTATTAGTTTTTATTAAATTTTTTAAATTAAAAATTCTTTTTATTTTTCATTATATATACATTTTTAGAGAGTTTGTATTAATTTAAACCAAGATATCCTTAGCTTATTCCAGTTGTCAACAACTGCCAGTCCTCAGAACACAAAAATACATGTAAATATCACAACTCTAGCTTTCTGGCTGAGTTCTGAATTCAGGTAATGCGTGGCAGTTCTTAGGAACAAGGTACAGGGTTTGATTCAAGCTAACAAATGATAATTCCTTATAACAACACTTCTGGTAGGTCTAGGATAGGCATAATTAGTTGTGTTAGTTCTGTTTTGACCAAGGCTATCACTGAAAGGGGCCCTCCCCGCCTCCCATCTCACTCCTTCCACCTTTTGGCAAGGACCTTTGGGCGGCAGTGACTCTGATGCAGGGAGGGCAGCTTTGGCACAAGGAAGTGTCTGCTCCTTCCATGAATTAGGCTGGATCCAATACTGGTTTCTGATGCTAGTCTGGTCCTTGCTCAGGGCACAGGATCATACTGTGTGTTTGATTCTAACCTAAGATGGGCCTAAATTCTTCCAGCCCATGCTGGATCTTCACGTCTACACAGGATCATTTCCTGTTTCTTCTAGACCAGGGAACTTGACACAGGCAAAGACTGTGTGGTCTTTTATCGCAGAACTGGACAGCAGAACTATCCCTCAGGTAGCCAGGGAAATGGGGAGTTGATGAGATGGGAAATAAGTATACGCTGATGTTGGAGAGGCAGTTCAGAGTGAGGAGACGGACAAGACCCCCCTTCCCTATGTCAGCACCGTCCACCAGCACTTGCTGTGGTGATGGAATATTCTGTATCTGTGCTGTCCAATGCGTGCAGTTATTGAGCACCTGAAATGTGGCTAGTGAGGCTAAAGAACTAAATTTTAAATTTTATTTAATGTTAATTAACTTTACATTTAAATTAAAATAGCTACTGTATTAGATAGGGCAGTTTTAGATAGTTTAACTAATGTTATTTTTTCATGGGCAGTTCTGATAAATTTTTTATTTTCCTTCTGAGTTATTTCCAAATGCTCCCATTCATTTTCTGGGCAAGAAGCTAAAGAAAAGGCTACTTGAACTCCTCACATGTTTTGACTGCTCAGCAAAGAGGACAGCAAAAGGTATTTTATAACCTGATAGTGGAAAAATCAGTCTCTTGCACCCTAAAAAAGGTAAGGTTGGTTTTCTTCTGATTTCAAGTGTTTCCTTTTTCTTTTTTTAAATAATCAAGAAGACTTAAACAGATTTATTAAATAAACACCAATACAAAGAGCTGGAATTTGATTTGGGTTAACCAGGCTTTTAAAAATAGTGCTCTCTCTATGCACAACTGTAATGAAATACACAGCATACATCCTAGGATAGTGGTTCTCAAACGCTGGCCCACGTCACTATTATTTGGGGAGCTTGTTAATACAGGCTCCTAGGCTCCACCCCGATGATTATGATTTAGGGAGTCGAGATGGAGCTTGTATTAGTATTTAAAAAACAGTGATTCTTATGCCTCCAAAGCCTGAGAAATCTGAATTACTGTATGTATTCTATGAGATCCACCATAAGAAAAAGCAGAATAGAGAGCTTCTGCACCAGGATCTAACAGTAAGCAGCCAGTTCTTTCGATTGGACGAGGTAGGTCAGGGAGGACTTGACACCAGGCTGGAGGCCCCTGCCTCAAGGGCTGGCCTCCATCATACCCCACAAATAAGGGCCAAGTTTGAAATAGAGTGTCTGAATTTCAGTGGAAATATATTCTGGAGTTAGCACTGCAGATTTTAGGAAAAGAGGAAGAAAAATTAGCTTTGACCAAATAGTCATTTAAAAAATCCCTTAGAGGGCTTCCCAGGTGGCGCAGTGGTTGCGAGTCCGCCTGTCGATGCGGGAGATACGGGTTCGTGCCCCGGTCTGGGAGGATCCCGCATGCCGCGGAGCGGCTGGGCCCGTGAGCCATGGCCGCTGAGCCTGCGCGTCTGGAGCCTGTGCTCCGTGGTGGGAGAGGCCACAACAGTGAGAGGCCCATGGGAGAGGCCACAACAGTAAAAAAAAAAAAAAAAAAAAAAAAAAAAAAAAAAATCCCTTAGAGCCCAAAGCTTTGGAGTAGAACAAATAAGCATTTAGACGGCAAGAGGAAGGCGTTAAAGGACTTCCTGGTGGTCCAGTGGTTAAGACTCTGCTCTCCCAATGCAGGCCGCCTGGGTTTGATCCCTGGTAAGGGAATTAGATGCCGCATGCGGCAACGAAGATCCCGCGTGCGGCAACTAAGACCTGGCACAGCCAAATACGTATTTAAAAAAAAATTCTTAAAAAAAAAAAGAGGAAGGTGGCAAGGTCCCTCCAGTGCTGAGTCTCTATAAGCTTCTGATGCCCATGAATAATTAACCAGGAGGACACGGGGTGTCTTCCAGAGCCAGTGGCGGGGGTGGGGTTGGGGGGACTGCAGGGCACTGAGGTCAGACCAGGTGACATTGGGAACTGAGGTTACAGGTGTGAACAATTTGCTTGGGAAAAATGGATTGTAATGTCCCGTGGCAGAAAGGTACATTGACAATGCCATGTTGAAGGGCAGAGTGAAGACAGGGAGGTCCCATTTGCAGAACACGGAGTTCAACGCACTTGAGAAAATTGGACTAAAAACAACAACAGAACAGAATGGAAGAATATGCATGTGAAGCCTTCCAAATTCCCAATGCCCTGGAATGGAAGCCAGGTTGACAAACTGAATCTCTATACTATGGAGGGGCTTTGTTTCATTGGCAAATATGTCCCTAAAGTGTTGTGTTGCCAAACTTTTCACAGAAAAAAAAAAAAAAAAAAAAAAAAAAAAAAAAAAACAAAACCCAAACCCAAACACACCTGGAATAAATCCTGTCATAGAATAATTCTTACATACGGTCAAAAATAAACAGCTAATTTGGCTTGTGGAAAATTATGCTCTGGGTTTGCTCACAGTGAGTTATAAATCTAGGTTTTAAAAATATTTTTGAAGTATTTAAGACATCTGAAAAAAATATTGTCTAAACAGTTAAAGCCCCTTCTGTAACCTACTTGATCATATGCACCTTCCTCCCCACCAGAGGCAAACTTGATCTTGAACTTGTATACCATCTCCACGAGTCTTAGTATATTTAGTCTTAAAGAAAAACAGTGGTCCCAGGAAGGATGCAGGTGGTGTGGACTGGAGGAAAGAGACCTTAAACTCAGGAGGGCAGAGTTTTAAGTCCTTGAGCAGTTGAACTGTGTGGCCGAGGGCAGGGAGGTACTTTCAGTTCCCTCATCTGTAAACTGGGAGATTGGATTATATGGTCTCTGGGCCCATTTTGTTCCCTCACTTGTTGATCCAATCAAGGAGCCATCACTTTAAGGTCAGAATCCCAGGTTTCCAGAATTGGGGGAGAGGGTGAGTGACCATGTGCAGGTGATGCCTCTTGCCCTCGAGCCTTATCTTCAGAGTAGGTGGGAAGTCCCTCCTGAGCAGGTTGGCCGTGCTGGCAGGTTCTCCTCCACACATCTGTGCTGCAGCCAGGGTGGGCACGCTGTCCATAGTGGGCTACACGTATCATTTGTGTGGATACTAGTATTTTATATTCTGAATATACCATGGTAAGAAGGAAATGTTTGTTTTCAAAAAAGAAAAAAAGGATTTAAGACAGTGTCAATGTAGAAACTAGTTTGAAGGATTTAGGGTTAAAAAAGGAATCAAATTTAATAAAGAATTATTTTGAAGGGGACAGGGGCAGGTGGTAAGGGGAGTTCATACAGGCACAGGGGTTCTCAGTGAGGTCCCTGGATCAGCCACATCAGCATCATCTGGGAAGTTGTTAGAGATGCAGATTCTGAGGCCCTGCCCCAGATGGACTGAATCAGGAAGCCTGGGGGAGGGAGCAGCAGTCCGTGTTTCGACAGGCCTTGCAGGTGAGCCCGATAGTGTGCATGTTTGAGGACCACTGATGTGGGATGTGGTTCTCAACTTTAGTTGTACTTTAGAACCTCCTGGGAGCCTTCAAACTCCCAATGCCCTGGAAACACCCCCAGACCAATTACATCAGAATCTTGTGGGGGGGTGGCTGGGAGGTGTGTGTGGAGGCCACACGCATCGGTGTGTTTCAATGTTTCCAATAGACATATCCTGAATCTAAATTTAAAAATATATTTTTTCTAAAGATTGTGTTATATACATAACAAAAAATTTACCATTTAAACCATTTTAAAGCATTCAGTTTAGTGGCATTAAGTACATTCACGTTGTTGTACAACTATTACCGCCATCCATTCACAGTACATTTTTCATTTTGCAAAGCAGAAACTCTATACTCCCTAAATAATAACTTCCCCCATTGCCTCCTCCCCCTATACATTTTTTCAAAAAGGCATTTCGAAAACCAGGTACAACTTACCAAGTCATGGACATAGCAGATACAGGGAATAATAGCCACCAGAAATAGTTTCCCTTGTCTGAAAAGACAGCCATGAGGATTCCCACCAAGGTGGCATTGTAGCCCTGGAGGCCTGCTGCAATGGCGGACCTGTGGGCAAAAGGCACAGCTTGGACAGCTTCCAGGAGGATGTTGGCTGGACGTGTACATAAATGACACTTGTAACTTCCAGATAATATTTACATTTGAAAATGAGATTATATTTAGGATTTTATTGCAAAGTCTGTAGAAGCCAAATACTAATAAAAGCATGAAAAAGTAAAATATACATAGATAAAATGCAAATGTGCACATAGAACAACCCTATAGAGGTGTCATAGCTAAAGATAGAATTCCAGCATCTAGGGGCGGAAAGGGAAATCAGCAATCCAACCTATTCTGCTTCCTTTTACCCTTTTGTTCCAAAAGTTATTATTTCTTTTAAGTCATTAGGACCTCTAACTTGAATAGAGCTTTGATGTGAAACTGTTTCCTAAGTCTGATTTTCTTGGTGAGAGATGTAAGATTCTTAAAATGTAAATTTACTTCCATGGTGTCTTTGATCTTATAAACACAGATCTTCCAACTTAGCATATATTTTCATCTTCCTGTGCTTCCATTTTGTTGTCTCCAGATATACATTTCCAAGTTATTGCAAAGAAAAACAATTACTTTTACTTGGCAAATTACTCCATTTAATTATGTGCGTATTTAGCACCTAATTGTTTCTTGGGTCCTTTTTGCTTCCCAGCATTTAACCTCACTTCTAAATGTTGCCCTGGGTAAGTTTCTACTCCTGGCCAAAATGGTTCCCATTTCATATTTGGGGAAAAGAAGCTCCAAGTGAGAAAGGGAATGATTTCTATAGAATAAGCCCCGGGGCTGACAAGCCAGGCCCCCCAGGACTCTGAGAATTGGCACCTTGAAGGTACCCAGCATTCAAGGATGAAGTCTGTAGGAGTCACGGGTTTGCAGATGGTGAAGTGGGTGGGCGAGGTTGAACACAGGGCCTGAGGGGGAGGTGATGTAGCAATGAGTCACGCTACAGGGCAGTACAGGATGGTGTGAAATCTTCTCCCGGTCTGTTTGTCACTGGAGCAGGAGGCACCAGTTCAACAGCAGGGTGATATTCATCTGGGCAAGAGTATTAGAGGTGAGACTCCGTGCTCAAAAGCCCTTTGTCTCCCTTAAATAATCCTTCAGGATATGTGGCAGGTGATGCGACTTGTATTGGTTTAACCCAGGAAATGATAATTGAGGCCATACCTGAGGGCAATGGGGAGCTATGCAAGGCTTGTCCTCTCAGCAACTGACTTTCAGATTTAAGGCTTGAGTTTGATCAACAAAAAATTAACTGCAATGCCTACATGTTGTGGAATGCCATAGTTTCATCAACAGGAAGATGTGTATTCACTTAAAGCAGAGGATTACCTTTTTCATGTGCCCTTTAGGACCGAGGAGAGTAAAAAAGATCTGAAAACTAACACATGTAAATATGGCTGGTCTTTTAAGCCATTGATCCCCAACATTTTTGGCACCAGGGCCCGGTTTCATGGAAGGCAATTTTTCCACGGACTGGGTTGCGGGGGGATGGTTCAGGCGATGGGGAGTGGCAGACGAAGCTTTGCTTGCTAGCCCGCCACCCACCTCCTGCTGTGTGGTCCAGTTCCTAACAGGGGGTGTTGGGGACCCCTGTTTTAAACCATGCTTGATAAGGACAATGGGTCAACTTCTACCGGGGCAAAACAATGAAGAAGTTTTGATATGATACGATTCTGGACCCACACCTCCAAACTGGACAGACTGTTTCTTGATGTGCATTAGAACAGAATTTGACCTAAGGTACAAAATCACCCTCCATAGAGAACAAGTCAGGCTCCTTGGACCTGCTGGGAAAGTGGAGCATTTTCGGACTCTCTCACTGAGAAGCCCCTTAGGCAGTTTACAGTAAGTGTTACAGGAGCTTAGCTGTATAATGACCATCCACTGGGGATGATGCATGGATCCTGGACACCTAGAAGACCAGCAGCCTCCCTGAAGGAACTGGTCAGGCAGGAGCCGTCTCCTCCCATGGTAGGAGTCAGCTCATCAATTCTTCAGTGGCAGATGGTTTATAACGTACACGCTATTTTTAGCCTAACACATAGTTCAGAAGACACACTAACATTACTTAAGTCAGAACTTGCTTACTTGGAATTTATGTCAGTTTGTCTCTCTGGAAGCTGAGCTAATCTTTGCACTGTCCATGAAGAATGAATTTACTAAGCTAAGCATGGAAATGAGATATAATGGGATTAGTGGGGTTTCTAAGCCACTAAAACTTTTCCTGAACCCATATTCATTTTTTGTAAATAAACAAAATGCTGATGATAAATAATTGATCAATCATTAAAGCAGATCACTTTGGACCCTACCCTGGGAATTACTTATAGCTTTGTTCTGGTTACCATGTAGTGCCAGGAGCATCTGGCATCATTCAGACTGGCCGCTTATTCAGGTACCACAAATAAGAGGCTATAAATGATTTCCTGACCTCTGACTAAAGGCACATATAAAGCATTCTGTGCAATAAAGGTTGTTTCTCCTGGGGAGGGTGGGGCTTTATCGCTGTTGCCCAGAGTAACTGGTTGGCTCCTGTGTTCTAAGAAGCAAGAAGCGGAGGCTTGGAGGGATGCGCCTACCTGTCCTGACCGAGTAACAGGGCTGTCAGGGTGGAGACCACAGTTCCCACACAGCCACTGAGTGCCCACCAGGGGTTCTGGACCAGGAGTCCCACCAGAATCAGGATTCCGCTGATGGGGTTGCTGACAAACACCACTTGGGATATGCCCCGAAGGACCCAGTCGACGAACTGGAGCGCCTGGGGTTTGTCTGGAAGAGATGAGACAGGCAGAGCTAAGGAAACAGCGAGGCAAATGGGGCTCCTTCCCAAGTCCAGGGCCCACCCCGAGCAAAATCCCCTCTCATGAAGGTGAAACTAATTTTTGACATTCCTTGAAGCTTTTTCTCTGAACCCTTTCCCCTTAGTGACCTTCAGATCCCTGAAAGCAACCAGTTTCTTTCCTCTCAATCCAACTGCCCTTACTAGAATTCTCAGTTCCAGAAAGCATCGAATGAACTTATTTACCACGCTTAGAGGTTCAGATTCATACGCCAAAGGAATGAATTACCAATAGTAAAATTTCAGTTTTTAAGTATAAAGAGGAACCAGGTGCCTTCCTCTGATATCAACTGGACTGCGGCCCTGACCACTATCTCCATTAAAAAAATTTTGAAGAAGTTTGCTGGTTATAAGATAAAAAGTTAAAAAAGGGAGAGGAAAGAGATAGATAGAAGGTAGGGGAGTATAACTAAAGATATGACTAGAAGAACCAGCAAACCATTTCCCCCAAAGCCACTGCTCCAAGGGATGGAAGCATAAATACCTTTAAGCCAGTTGGCAAATTCTTTCATATCACCAGTTATGTAGCCAAGTGCCTTGGGGAGGCATCTTCTCTTGCGAACTGGTGGACCCTGATTTCCACCCTGGTCCAGTTTAACCACAGTGGGGCTGTCCTCCATGGATAGCTCTTCCTCTGGCTCCTTAAGGAAAGAACAGAGCTCATAAACATCCTAATGCAGAACACTTTGGACAGGCCAGTGTGGGACCTGGTCACAGTAGCCACAGAGGATGAGTTTAAAGGCACTTTATCTGGACCATGACGTCCCATTTTCCTCTTGAAATGTTTTCACGGAGATTATTACCAAGACCCAAACCCCATACTACTTTTGTCATCACTGTTTTCAATGCCACCACGAAAAAAGGTTCTGGTCTTTAATTTCATAAGGTTCAGTTTCTAGCTCAACAAATATTTATTGAGCACCTATATCCTATACTCAAAGAGCTCAGTCTAGTAGGAAAGACTGAAAAATAGTTAATTTCAATGTAAGGAGTCAGATAATGATATAGAAATAGCTAAGATAAGTACTTAAGTTTCTTGCTGCCAATGAAAGGAACCAGATGTCAGGTTACAGACCAGTCAGCTACTTTCCAAGGCAAGCAGCCATTTTAAATTAAATTTTTATTTTACAAAAAAGAGTTTTGTTTTTAAAAGTTTGAAAGAGAAGAAATGTTTACAAAACAGTGTGTGTGTGTTAACACAGCCTAAGAAAACCGCCTCTTACTCACTCTCCAAGTCAAAGATTGCTTGACTATGTCGTCACATCAGGCAACTGCCTCAGATATTCTTTATTTTTGGAATTTGTTATTTAAATGTTTAAAGACTGGAAAAATAATATTCTACAAATGTGTAGAAAATGGGAAAGGTGGAGGCAGACCAAGCTGTTGAAAACCAAAGAATTACAATTTAAGAATTGTATGCTATGGGGCTTCCCTGGTGGCGCAGTGGTTGAGAGTCCACCTGCCGATGCAGGGGACACGGGTTCGTGCCCCGGTCCGGGAAGATCCCACATGCCGCGGAGTGGCTGGGCCCATGAGCCATGACCGCTGAGCCTGCGCGTCCGGAGCCTGTGCTCTGCAACGGGAGAGGCCACAGCAGTGAGAGGCCCGCGGACCGCCAAAAAAAAAAAAAAAAAAAAAAAAAAAAGAATTGTATGCTATAAGAATGTACAGGGCATACTTACAGTAAGCATGCCTCGGGGAAATACTAACAGTATAACCGTGACTGGTGCTCACTATGAGACTCTTCACTTCTCATTATAAGTGTTAATAGGACTAAGCACCAGCATCAACAGAATATGGTACCCTGTAGACAAAAATGGTTTTATGGTGCTGATGGTAGATATAAAAGAATACCAATGATGTCGTCCCAGAAGCAGGCAAAGGGAGAAAGACAATGGCAAAACTACCTTGAGTTTGCAAGGAAGCAAGGAGCACAGCCAGGCCAGTGTGAAGCAGTGGAACACACCAAAACCATCAGACCCCAGAAGGCACAAGTGTGGAATGTGGAAGCCACAGGCACGTAAGACATGACCAAGGAAATACCCCAAACTCGTGCAGTTAAACCAGCTCGTCTTCTCTCTGTAGCCAGGCTGTGAATAAGGGGTTCTCGGGGCTATTTTTGGTCCCATCGTTGTTCCATTTACCATAGCCAACAGATGGCTATTAACAGATAATAAAAGTTATGGCTCTTTAAATTTTTATTTTTTGCAATCCAGCTTTTAGTTTTGGCTTCTATTAATCCCAGTACAGAAATCAATGTAACATTTTTTATTGAGTCACAATTTCACTTCAATTGTATTATTTCATTGCCCAACTGACCATTCTGCTTTTTGAACAATGGCCAACCATTCCACAAAGTAGAAGCTGTTTATGCAATGCATTCTAGACCGAGGTCATTTTGTCTTGGCAAAATAGTGATAGAAACCAGCATTTGTGAGACTTCCAATGAACATTTGCATTAAGAAATTCTTAAACTGAAAACTGCTGGAGGTCAGGAACCAAAACTAAGTCTATATGGAACTCAGCTGGCCCCAAAGTTAAACAAGGAAAACTGTTTGAATTATTAAGCAATTGTGAAAAGTTGGATTTTATTTCATAATCTAAGTGATGACTATCATTTATTTTTATTTATCTCCCTCTTTAAACATCATAACTGAACATATTGCTTGGAAAGCCCTTTCCTCAGCTACAGTGACCCCATTCTCAAAGCCATGCATCTTATGAGAAGCATTAGCTTCCAGTCCAGGCAATGACAAGAAATTGCCTTGAGTTTCTGTAACTGAGTAGATCTGGCCCTACAGAGGCAGCACCGAATGAAAACATTAAAGTGGACATTTTCCATCAAGTACAGAAACAATTAGGTATATGGGTTATTCCAGGGTGAACAAATTCATGTTCTCAAAATTTCCAGCATTTATTTATTTATTTTAGAGGGTTTTAAATACATCATCACCTCAGAGATTTTAGAGATAACAAATATGAAACCTGATATTCTAACTGGCCAGACATGACTGAGAACCTGACTGGCCAGAGTTCCCTGCCTAGCCACCCGAAGTTGGATAAAGATTGAATCATTTATCTGAATCCACAGCCCAATGTATAGAAGGCTTGCTGTGCTTTGTCTTTCCAGTATCCACATATTGGGGTAGGTTGTGCGGTTGCCATGTCCTAGAGAGAGGGGTCTTCTCATGAGTTGAGCAGAGAGTTGCTGCTGTGGCCGAACCCCCAGGAACCATTTATTCTGAAATCCTGAATACTCTGGAGCCCTGGGAACCCTGACTACTTGTTCCAGAACTTAGGCATGAGAATTGGTTATGAGAAACCAGTAACTTAAAAGTTGTGGTTCACCCTAGAATTTTATCATGCTAGACTGTTTGCATTTCTTTAGGGAACTTTAAGAATCCACACAGCCTAATTGGAAAGGCAATGCAAGGTGATAAAGCAGGAACTTAAACTGATGCTCAAGCTTCTCAAATCTAAGTAGGTCATTAAATTTCAATTAAAAAGACAGGACCAGAAAATAAAAGGAAGAAACTCTATAAAATAGGAGGAGCATAAGTTAAAAATCCCAGACTACTTTTTCCTAGCTTTTCCATGGTTGTCAAAGCTCTGCAGCACAAAGGTCCAGCCAGCATCCAACCCCAGATGAGTGTCTTGTGACTTTCTTGACCAAGACCCCTGTGCATCTGGCTCAGCCCAAGCTGCACTGCTCAGCAGAGCATGAGGACTCACTTCCCAGGCTCTGTTCAGAAAAGACACAGCAGAGTCACAGAGAGAAGCTGCACAAAGGTAGCATACCTGTTCTTGTGGCCCATGGGCCAGGGCCAAGCTTAGCCAGGGGAAGCCTCTGCGTTCTGCCTCACCAGCTTTTTTTCCAAAAGGGTCCCTCCAAAGAGGACCAGGAGGGGCGTCACCAGCGGCGCCAATCAAAGACCGTCCATTCATCCTTCCTTTCTTTCCATACATGACAAAGGGCAAAAATAGATGTATCAGCAGGATTCGTGCCCTGGCTGTGGTGTGAAATGCAAGGTAGAGAGAGGCAGGAGCTCTCCCAGGGAGTTCCTGGGGAGAGGAGATCTTAACAGAAAAGGCCAACTTCTCCATAAACAAGAGCTCCATCAGCAAAGAGAGACTATGAGCTGACTGCAGACATTGAATGTTCATTTTACTTCACTTAGAACAAAAGAAAAATGTGGCAAATCATCCTGCACAGAGACCTATGCATAGATTTTGTTCTGCTGTGTTTCTCCACTATCAGGAAGCTGACAGATCTGAAGCCTGTTCCAGAAGGAGGGGTGGGCTCAGGCTCTGAAACACTTCAGGCAAACTGTTAGGGCTCCATCTTGGGGGTCAAAGCCAATGCCACAATTTCCCTAGGCCTTGATCTTTACAAATGTGAGAAGGAGAAGGCCTGGTATGGGTTCTATTTTCTGTGATAAGATGCTAGCCACACTTTGTAGGCATAGCAAAAGCCCAGTCTAAGAAACTGCTAAATGGCATTTTCCCCACCTTGTATCTGAATAGGAATTGTTAAAAATTGGACATCGCCTTGTTTATAAGAAACAATTCTTAGTTGAATTCAACAAGTGTGGCAACTTTTTGTTTCCTTTTTTTTAAAAAAAAAAAACAAAAAAAACCTTCCATCACATCCAAGGATAGTATTCTTCTTTCAGAGGTCCCAGGAAAGTCGTATGTGTGGTATTTCTTTATTTTTTTTCTTCCTCATTTATTTAATTTTTACTTTCTTCTACTGGCTTCGTTTGAAATCTGAAAATTTACACTCTACTAGAGTGACTCAGAAAAATCCACAACCGTGGAAAATATTACTGACATTTCTTAGGAAAAAACTGTGTACGTGTATGTTTATCCATGGTTAAACAATCTGGCGAATACCTGACCAGTGGGTTGCATTATGTATATTTTTGTTTGATAAAGAACAACATCCAGAAACCCAACTGTAGAGCACTCATACACAATTTTAAAAAAAAGAAAGAATGAATGAAAAAAAAAGGAGGGAAAGGGGCCTCCCCTGGTGGCACAGTGGTTGAGAGTCCACCTGCCGATGCAGGGGACATGGGTTCATGCCCTGGTCCGGGAAGATCCCACATGCTGCGGAATGGCTGGGCCTGTGAGCCATGGCCGCTGACCCTGTGCGTCCGGAGCCTATGCTCCACAACAGAAGAGGCCACAACAGTGAGAGGCCTGCGTACCGCAAAACAAAAAAACAAAAACAAAACAAAACAAAAAAAAAGAGAGAAAGAGACAGGTAGACTGTCGCATTCCCCTTTCACATTTCCCCACCACCAAAATCACCACGTCTTGGAGAATGACATCCTTGAGCTCAACAACGATATTTCCTTAGCCAAGAGAGAGAGAGAGAAAAAAAGTTGAGAGAGCATATAATTTGAGGCTTCATTTTATAGAAGGGAAAACTGGGGTCCAGAGTGGGGACCATCCACATTCACTCAGCAGGGTCAGCCTTATGGAATAGGTAAGCCCTGGTGGCTCTTTGTCTTCCAGGCTGGAGCCACACACATTGATGCCCCCAAGATTCTATTCAAGTCAACACACAGTGAAGGAGCAGCTTCTGAATGCCGGGATGCAAGGGGTGTTAGAGCTCAGTGACACAGTAGACACAGCCTGTCTTCGTGGCCTCCCTGACATAACCCTGGGGAGGGAGTGTTGAACAGCAGCAAAGGGCTCTGCTACGCCTGGTTTCACCCTATGCCCTTGCCCGAAGCAGTGACTCTTCTGACAAACATCTCACCGTGCCTCAAAGTAAGCCTCATTCTCCTGCATCGCTGACATATCTACAACAAGGCCTATATGTGCTGAAGTTGACATCCCAAGAATGTTCTGGAAGCCGCACCCAATGAGCTTACAGCAGGAGTTAGCACTTTTCATAGCCCAGATCACTAGTACAACAAAGCAGTACTCATCATTCTGAAATATCAAGATTTCAGCTCAACTACATTCCTTGTTTTATTACAGGAAGTACAGCTCATTCTGTTGTCAACATATATTAGAAATTTGTACAATTAGAGAGCCCTGAAAGTTGTTAATTTTCTATGCCTCAAGTATCACTTTTAAAAATAATACAAAGTTTTGGATATAGATATAGAAGAAAGCATATAAACATTCATGCTCTATCATAAATAAGAGAATTTTCAGCATTGACATTTATCTGATACTTACAGTAATCTTTATTTTAGGTAGTTTTTGATTCTAAGCAGTGGGAGGTGCTCAGGTTTCTCTAAAGCTGTAATCAGAAACAAAGAAAATGCTGTCAGCTATCCTGTCTCCTGATTAAAACACTTCTCTCCTCAGAACACACTCCCCTAGAAGCCTTGAGGTCTGAATTCCACATCAGAAAGGGTAGCTGCAAAGAAGCTGCCAAATTCATGCCTGTAGTGGGACTGACTCGTTCTCCCAATGGGTGTTCCAGCACCCTCCCTCCAGCATGACAGCACATAAAACCATAGTTGGAAAGGGCCATTCCCAGTACCCACTTTTTTTTTTTTTGAGTCATATTGATACATCTGCAATTTTACTTATTTCAAAAACACAGCCTGAAACTCCTATAGAGCGTCAGTGAGCTTAGTCCTTTAGCACCTCAAGTGGACTCCTTGCTGAAACCCTCTTCCACATGGAACTCCGGTAGAAGAAACCATGCTGTAGTTTGATCCACCTGCTGTAGAAACCATGAACCAAGACGCTGCTTGCAAGCGTCCAGGAAGAAGCCCGTGGTTTGGGTAAATGGCTTTCTAGTATACCAGAACTCTGTCTTTGCTGCTTTTACTCAGTTCCAATCATCTGAACATATTTCTCCATTAAAAAAAGAAAAGCGAAAAAGAGCAAAAATTAGAGAGGTCTAAGAAGACACCCCCCCGACAAGGAACAGTTAGAAATGAACAGAGATGAGAGTACTCACACTGCAGCTGGCTTCCTGGGCAGAAGGCACTGGCTGATAAAGCCCTGCTGGGCTCTATTAAAAGGGAGGTGCTTAGGAGGAGGGTGCTGGGGGAGGCACCCAGCACTTTGATACTCAGAACCCACTCTGCGTATCTGTGCTTCTTATTTTCTCCTCCCACTTCAGGCAACAGGGCCAAAGTATTGCCGAGCAACTGGCCCCCTGTCCTGTGCCTTCTGTCTGTCTGTCTCTGTCCTTGATTGGGTGCCAGCAGCTTTGCCATCGTTTCTGCGGGTTCCCAGGTCTTTGTCCAGCAGCAATCCTGCTCAAGCTCATTGTTGTCTTCCCGGTGCTGTTTCCTCTACCCTGAGATATTCTGGGGAAAATTTGTAACTGAAAAGGATCAACAAGTGTCACTCAAACTAAAAACTGAGAGACACATTGCTACAGAGTAGACTCTGGAGCTAAGTATCGGCTCCCGGGGTGGAATGTTCTCTCAGACTTGACGTGGCTTCTGCACAGGTAGACTCTGGAGCTAAGTATCGGCTCCCGGGGTGGAATGTTCTCTCAGACTTGACGTGGCTTCTGCACGGGTGTAGGAATCCAGCAAAGCCTTGCAGGGTGTGGTGCGAGCGTTGGGGAGAACCGGGGTCCACAAGTTGTTTTCTGGAAACCAACCTGCCCTTGTCCCCAGCGAGGAGGAAAACAAAAATATAAATGTTTCCCTGGAATTGTCCCCCTTTCCAGGTGAGAATCCCAGGACAAACTCTGCTGCCTTTAAAAGTCAGGAGGCAAACACTCCACAGCAGAGGAATCTAAAATTCAAGTGAGAAATCCCTTTCTTCCCCATTTTTCTTAAATTTCATTTTTGTGGCTTGTTCTGTGATGGCAGAAATCACGGGAACTCTGGTTCACTTCTATGAGCACAGAATTTTAAAAACCAATAAAACACACAGAAAGCTGTGCATGTGTCAGCGGGGCCTCCTGCCCACCTGGACGAGCTGATAATCCTCATCAGGGAGGCGGCCAGCAACTCTCTGGCTCCACCCCCTGGACACCAGCCAAACCACAGGGCTCCATGCTGGGGGGATTCCCTCCCTCCAAGTGTCCCCCTGCAGCTCAGGGTATGTGTGTCTGGGGCCTGGGAGGGAGACCACAGGTCCAGGTTTATGACCAGAATTTTGAGGTTCAGGCAAATCTCCCTTCAACATTTTCTTCCTGGTAAAATAAGGAGAAAATAAATTCCTCAGGTTACCCTGAAGGAGAAAAATGAATCACAAGAGGATAGTCTGAGGGCATGGTATAGGAAAGAGAGGAATCACACTAGTGTTTCCATGAGTTCCTTATGCAAATGGACTACAATCCCTCGTGGTAATAATAATAGTAATAGTGATAGTAATGATAATGATTGGAATTGCACAAACGGTTGGGCATTCACTCTATGTGCAGGGCACTGCACTTTGGGGCTAAGCACTTTGTATGCATTAGTCATTTAACCATCACTAAAATCCTCTGAGGTGAATGCCATTATCCCCTTTTTGCAGAGGAGGAAACAGGCTCACAGAATTTAAATAACTTGCCCCAAGTCTAACACTGAGGTTTGTACTTGGATGTACTCTAGTCTCATCCAGTATTTCCAACTTCTGCCTATTGTTTGTCTTTCATTAATTCATTAATTAACTCAATGAGCTCAGCCATCAACATGTATCTCTAGAGCTCATCCTAAAGCCACCTCCACATGGTACCCAAGCAGCCTTCTGCCTCAGTGGCCTGAGTGGTCTGCTCAGGGGTGGAGGGTGTGTACTGAGTCTTAAGTCTTCTTGCAGAGCAACTTCCTCGCCACCCTTCCTCCCTGCCCTCTTCCCTGATCTTTGTAAAGGCGCTCCTTAAGTTGCTGATTACAAGATAGAGCCGTACTATACGGTTTACATAAAGTAGTGTAAAGCACGTGGGATTCCAAGTCAGGCAGACCTGAGTTTGAATCCTGGCAGACCTGAGTTTGAATCCTGGCTTTGTCCCTTACTAGTTGTGTGAC